TCTTAAACAGTTTAGGAAATGGGTTCAGGATGTAGACCTTTTCACCCAAGCAGACCTTTTGACAGGGCTGTCTGCAAGAGAAGGAGTCACAAAAGTCAAGATGACTGTGCAATTAAAGCCCCGCCTCCTCTTTACATGTATCACGCGTGCAATGTATATAAAAAGAGGGCCAGGATTTTGACCAAGCGTCTGCAGACTCTGTCTTTGAATTTTCTGGCTGCTCCCCGTGGATGCCCTTGCCTATTAGAGCATTGATAGTTTTATGTATTGTATGATGGAATAATGACATTATTATAAAATATATATCATTTTTTCTTTTTTGAAAGTTGCCTAGAGCTGTTGCATATTAATTTGCAAGTCAAATAAATAGTTTAAAATAAGGCAATCAGCATAACACCTGCCCCCCCACCCCCCCCCACCATGGGGTGCCAAGTGGCTTCAATATGACCCCTGGGCAGATATTAAAGAAAGAGACAGGCAGGGACACCTGAGGGATACAGGTTTGTTAGCAAGGTAGATACGAAGGAGGCTGGCAGATTTGGGACTGCCAACCCCCCCCCAACTTCATTTTCTACATTAACCTCTCCCACGTTGCTGGATGCCGGTGGGATATTCCAAGACCTGCAGACACGTCTGTAAAGCTCCAGCTAGAAGAAAGCAGCTACTTTAATTCTATTTATATTTCTGAAATAGCAAGCACCTTCATCGGAGAGTTTTGCTGCATTTGTATCACAAGAAAAGGATATGGGCTTTTTTGTACAACCCCCCCCATCTTTTTTTTTTTTTTTTTTCTGTTTTGGTATCCCCTCATGAAAAATGTTCCAGTTGCACAAGATGGTTAATTTGGGGACTGGCTCAGCTCACCAGGGGCCCAAGGAATAAGGAGGTAGATAGGGGTATCCATATTTTATGCCAAGTCCACTGTGTTTCTGTAGGACAGGAGCAAGTTGCCTGTGGGCACCCAGGGAGCCCCAGACAGCACCCACCTGACCCCCAAAGATGCTGGAGCCCATCCTTGACAGCTGGTTCCCCTTATGGTCAATGGATGTGGTGTTGACCTTCCTGGACCACCATGGCAACCAGTGTTTCTCAACCTTGACTACTTTAAGATGGGTGGACTTCAACTCCCAGAATTCCCCAGCTGGCTGGGGAAT